AGTATAGTTTTTTGCTCATATTTTCTGTTATTGTCATAGAAATGCAAGAACTGATGAGATTATATTGTTTTCAGTTTATTAAAATAATGTACTGTTACTGTTTAGAGAGTTTTTACCAAGTTGTTTAGATAAAAAGTTTTACTTGAACTATACTGTCATCTTGTGGTGACCAATGTTTCTGTTCCAAATTCACATATGAAAGTTTTCAAACTGAAGTATCTGGACATTATACAAATAACATTATGTTTCTTGTGCCTGCTTGGTAACAAATAATCAGTGTAGTCTTTTCCCCACTAATTCCAACTGATATATCTACCTCTGCAAATCAAGATGATGCCCAGAAACAAAGGCATCCAAACAGACTCTGATGAAAATGCTGCCCTTGAATTCCTCAGCTCTACTGCTGCATTCCTGAGACGTTACCCATGTCAAAGTGTCCAATATCCAAGAGGATACTGACCTAAGAGATCACATTAAGAGATAAAAACTTTGGCTTGCCTGCACCACTGAAGATAATTGGTATTAAGTGCTGACTAGCTTCAAGCTTACATGTGTGAAGCTTGCATTTTCACTGTTCCCACCCCTTTAAGTCATCCCCGCTTGTGCAAAGGATGCTACCTACACGTGCACAAATGAGTGATGCCATATAATGACATTAGATGGAACTTGCTTTGATATTGGTTGTGCATTTGCCACGCACTAATCCTTTCAGCAGTGCTCAAGTTCCATAGAACCAGTACTCTGCTTTTTTGAAGAAAATCTCACCATGGTCACATCAGGGCCTGTCTGGCTGAACTGCACTCCAGTGACGGCATGATGTAGTAGCATAACTTTAAACCTGAGCAAAACAAATGCCACTGAGGTTATTTGGTGGTCATACACACCTTCCTCTCTAATGTCTAGCCAGCCCTGGCTTTGGTTTCTCTGTCCCTGAGCTAGACTTATCTCTAAGGCTTATCTTTATGGGCATACTTATTTTTTACTTCAGTTTTTTAATCCCACCCAGATCAGACAGGCTGCAGAACATGGTGCACAGTATTCAATAAATCCTAATCTAGATGATTAATAGGATCATTGTTTGCTGGCATGACAAAGAGTTTCTCCCATGAACAAATCTTGCTGGACCAAACTCCTTGTGCAGAAGCTGTGATGGGGTACCAGCTGCAGTGACAGACTAGTTTCCTACATCAAAAAGACAGTTCTGAAGTCCAGACATGTCACCTTCTAAATGTTGGACTAATTCCCATGCAACAAAGAAGCAGTGTGAATTAGTCAGTGCTAAATTTAGACTTCAGCAGCTGCCGGTACATGAGCCTGTGGGTTCTGAGCAGGCAGGAGTTCACTATGGGCAATGTATTCAGAGACATTTGCAGGGGCTAAGAGCTTCTGAATGATACTGGGTCGGCCACAGCTTTGCCCATTCTCTACCCAGAAGTATTCAATCCTCCTGAATACTAAAGACAACTGCATGATGGTACCAAAAATCTTTTTTCCAAACAGATTTGAAGACATGTAAATGCAGAAGATCATTTTTATCCTACAAAGGACAAGAATAATTCCTCTAGCAGCATATTCTTGCAGGCAGCCAAACCAACAGACTTTCTTTGGAGGCTGTTGCCATGGCATCTGTCCAATGTTCATGGCATCTTCCAGGTTTCTGAGATCTAGTGAGAAAGAAAGAGGAAAGGAGGTACTAGTTAAAAGCCATACAGCAAACCTGCTGGAGAAATATGACTCCAGTTCAGCCTGTAGGATACATTCATACTGTTTAAGTGGGATTTTTTTTCTGAATGGCATTACATTCATAGGACACTGAGGTTTCTCTTTTGATTTTTGGCAAAGAAGACAGAAATACTATAAAAATACTTGAGTCTAGTCATGGCAAAATTATTTTACCTAACTTCAGCCATCTATGTGCCTAGCCTACAGGGGCTGTCTAGGCCTCTCTCAGAATTCATGGAAGAAGGGTTCCTCCTAAGATTAATTTTTTCACTCTACTTTAGACACCTAATGTAAGATGGGATGATTTACCATTTGGAACCACTCTCTTTTCTTTAACTATTGCAGGACTCAGTTCTACTGCAAACAAAATGAAAGAGCTGAGTGAACAGCCTGGACCACATCTTTCTGTTCTGGAAGCAATGCTGCTGAAGGCAAAATGGCTTTTTTCCTTATCCCTCAGCCTTAGCAGAGGTCAAAAGCTAAGCACATAAATTAGCACCAAAGGAATTCAGCAAGAGGCCATGCTCAGAAACAAGTGAGGATAAATTAACCTTGAGACAACCATACATGGTTTGTCCTTCAGTGAAAATGTAGCAGTCAAACACAGCTTTACTGCCTTGGGCACTGTGCCAGGGGATGACTCTTTTTTTTTCTGGACAAAGAGCTCATGTTACAGGGGTTCAACTCATTAATTGTCAGAGGTTTCCTCACAGTTTGTTGGCTTTTGGCAGGCCCAGACAGCCATACTTTGGAAAAACTGTTAGTAAATCAGGAGTGAGATCTAACCTGACAGATAAAGACATACTTTTATCAAGTACTGTAAGACAAGTTACATAATCCTACAATCAAAGATAAATAAACTCACTTTACCATCAATTTCTGGTTTTGTTTGGGATGACAAGATAATGATCTGGTAATAAGATGCACACAAATTTCTTCAGTTTCTCTCTGTACATGTTATTTCCCTCAAATGAATGCTTCCAAGATAAAATTGCACTCAGATTGTTAGCCTACTGAAGATGCATAGCAGGCAGGCATGTGAGAATTTAAATGGAGCACCTAAACAAAAGCTGGTTTTCACAGAATCACAGGATATTCTGAGTTGGAAAGGACTCACAGCGATCATCAGAGTCCAACTCCTGGCCCTGCAAAGGACCATCCCCCAAGAATCTAATAAACAAGAAAGCTGTACGAAAATACTAAGTAATTTGGGTCTGCTGTCATAAAAATATAGATTGGATTTAATAGCAAAACGTACGAGGTTTTGCTAGCACCATATGCCTGAGAGCATTGTCTAAAAGCTTCTTGGACCCTGGACGGCTAGGTGCTGTGACTCCTTCCCTTTTTTGTGCTCCTGATGACCATTTCGATGCTTTCAACTGCAGGCAGACTGTCTTGCCATGGGGGGATCTGGGCAGGACAGCGACTAGCAGAGAGCACAGGAGGGCCTATTTTTCAAGGCAACTCACTTTGGAAGTATTTATTACAGCCAAGAGCAGCCTGTCCCTGAATTTCACTCATTAAAAGTCACTCATTAGACCTCACCGCTATCTATAACTAGCCGACAGGAGGCTGTAGCGAGGGGGGGTGCTGCTGTCTCTTTTGCCGTGCCTGCAGCGAGGGGACAAGAGGCAATGGCCTCAAGTTGAGGCACGAGAGATTCAGATTAGACTTTAGAAAAAAATTTTTCACTGTCCGGGGGGGGTCAGGCATAGGAATAGGTTGCCCAGGAAGATAGTGGAGCCCCTCCAAAAGTTTAAGCGGCACCGGGACACGGCGCTGGGCGATGTGGTTCAGCGATTTAAGGGTTACAGTGGTGGCACCGCCCCCGGAATAGGCTGCCGTGGCGGAAGCGGGGCGGGGCTCGGTCTTTTCGGTGCTGCCGGCCGGGCAAGATGGTGAGTGGCGTTAGCAGGCGCGGGGCATCCGCCGCCATCCGCGCCGGGCCGGGCCGGGGGCACTGCGGCGCTCGGCTGGGTGGCGTAGCCGGGGCCAGGGGGCTGGCGGCGGGTGCGGCTGCTGTGCGAGGCGGGAGGCCGTGGTGCGGTGCGGGCCCCTGGGCGCTCAGGGAGCCCCTTCTCCATACGCGTTGGCGCCGTGGCCGGGGAAGCCGCGCGGCAGCGGTGGGAGGGTGGTCAGGAGAGGGCGGTTTGCTGTTTGTCGGGGAGGGGACGGGGGAGCCGAGGTAACAGCGCCACGGCTCCGCTTCACTTCAGCACAGGGGCGGGGGCGCAAAGCAATGGCGGCGAGAGGCGTAAGGAACACGGTTCCTGAAAATGGAGGCAACCTGTAGGCGAAACTGAGCTGTGATTCGGAGTTAAGCGTGCCTCGGACCTGTTAATATAACTTGGTCGGTTTTAGCATGTTTTTTTAAGGCTTGTTCTTTTAGTTTTCGTGATCTGGAAGTATTGGTGATGTTTCCAACGTGCCGTGTCTTGAAATGCTTTTCAGACGAAGGGAACATCGTCGTTTGGTAAGCGGCGAAATAAGACGCACACCTTGTGTCGTCGATGTGGGTCCAAGGCGTACCATCTGCAAAAATCAACTTGTGGGAAATGTGGTTACCCTGCCAAGCGTAAGAGAAAGTGTAAGTAACAAACTTTTACAAGGTTTAAAAAAAAACACTTGTTTTTTTGTCTCCTTCAGTAGTCTGACTTTTTTTTCCAGCCAAGGAGGGATATTGTGACACTTTGCAGTGTTTGGAGCTTTTTCCAAATTAATGGTGACTTAACTATGTTCTAGGTAATGTGTAGTATTGCTGCACAGAAACTGACTTGAATTATAATTTTTTTGTTAGCTTGAATGAATGTGTCATAAAAATTTCATGTGCAGCTTAATTATTTGGTGCAGATGAATAACAGTAACTTACATGTTTTAGATAACTGGAGTGCAAAGGCTAAAAGACGAAACACCACTGGTACAGGCCGCATGAGGCACCTGAAAAAGGTCTATCGTCGATTCAGGTATGATGTTATATTACACAGTAGCATGGTGTGAAATCCTGCATGGACATGACTTAATTATAAAATTTGTCATTCAAAGTTAACATTTAAATTTATTTTTTCTTAGTATCACTTAATGTGGTATGATCTTCTTAAATATATCATGAAATGATACTTCATATCCCTCAGTCTTTGGCAAGACAAGGGGGTGTATAAAGTTCTGATGTTTCTGTTAAGTGAATGTAGCACAGAACACAGAGGTGATTGTAATAAAAGAGACAAATCTCAAAATCATTCCAATCCCCACTTGCCCACAAAAAAAATTCAGGACAGGAATAACTTTGGGAGCCTCTCTTTATTTAGAGCTCAGTTAGCAGTAAGTAGGTGTTACATCAGATTCTGAGTTATGGGTTTCTAAAACTTGCTACAAAGCTTTCAGGTTGTACTTAGGAGGTAGTGGTGGGGGGTTTATACTGTTGTTAAGAATTTCTTAACAACGACCGTGTTCTAAAATTGAACTCTGCCTTCTGGTGTAATGAACAAGAAAGCTGTATGAAAAATACTAAGTAATTCAGGACTGTTGTCATAAAAATGTAGATTGGATTTAATAGCAAAATGTAGGAGGTTTTAAGTCTCAGTTTGGGGTGGCGTTGAATGGTCAGTTCATTTCTTTTGGTTAGCACAGTCTTTCCCAGTAGCAGCCATAAAATATTTTCCACTATGCAACTGTAGCTTGCTTTCTGCTGAGTGTTGCTGAAGTAGAAATGTCATATCCAAAAGCAAGCTCGGGGCTGACCAGCCTCTGGTTGGAGGCATAGAGGACTTCTGTAAGAAATAGACTTGTGATTCGCAAACATGACATCTTTGGCTGGATTGCTTGGTAGGAGCGTGAAGTAAGGTGTGCCTTCAGCAGATGTGCTGTACCTGGTGCAGTCTTGCAGTGTTCACTCAGTTAATGACATCTTCCTGTTTAAAGAAGTCCAATTTACTTAAGCAGAAGAGAGTGAAAACCATGCTGGTTATTCAAGGCAATTGAAGACAAGATGTTTCTTTTAACAAATGCCTGTATGAATTCTGTACTGAGATAAGCTGAAAAAATGTAATGAGTTTGATCTAAAGCATCACTGTCAGAAAATAACCTGGAGCAGGCATCAACTTTTCAAAAAGTGGTAACTATATTTCTACTTGCAGGAATGGATTCCGTGAGGGAACCACACCGAAGCCCAAGAGAGCAGCTGTTGCAGCCTCCAGTTCATCATAAAGACTCATGTATTTGTTAAAATAAATGATCTTATCCAGAAAATATTGTCACCTTTTTTTACATACTTCACCGAAATGCAGAATTCGTGATACTACATAAACACCTACAAACACAAATTCTTAAATGATTAATTTCAAAGAACCCTTTAATTGACTTTTCATTTGATAGCACCTCTGTCTTAAAAAGGACTGTTACCTTTGCACCGAACTGAAAAAAGAAGCTTGTCTGTATTACTCGAAAGAGCTCCCCTGCCAGAGAAATGGGGTATTGGCACTGTGGACTTGCCTTGTGTGCCTCTGAATCTCATTGTGTCCTAGCATGGAGAGTCAGAATTTTGTCTTAAAGATAATAGCTGTAATAATGGCTTTATGTGATGTTCTTGGAGGCATTAGTGAAAGAGGGGTTTTCAGTCCTGCCTGTTTTTCACTGCTCTGTGGCACAGAAAGGCCCACAAAGGTACTGCTTGTTGTGTGGGTCATGGCTTCTTGGGAAATAAAACCTCCCAGGTCTGGAGCACAAATACTGCCAGATACAGAGGGGTTGGAGATCTGCTGTAGGTGGGACAGGAGTTGCCCAAATGGCTGGAGAGGTTGGTGTGGAAAGATGACTCACAAAATGACCTGAATTAACCATGCTGGGTGTAAATAATAAAAAAAAAATTATAATTCATATGGTAGAAAAGTCACTGGGAGTTACATGAAAATTACATATTGATGCCTGATACATTTGTACCCTATGTGGTGTGTTACTGGCTTTCAAACTCTGCTTTAAGAAGGTGATCATAAGATGCTGCTATGAAAGTTTGGGGAATTACAGTAATCACTGCAAGGATTTAGAGGATTTTCAAATGTCTTGCAGAGACAATACTAGATACTCAAGATGCTTTAAGACACTGAGGCTGTTTTACTGCAATTCTTTTGGTTTTGTCATGAACTCTCACAAGCAGCATACTGCTTTGTCATTACTGAATGATCAGCAGTTAATGTCTCACCTTGTGCAAATCACAGAAGAAATTTTAAGCCAGGTGTGAAATTGGGGTGTTCCTGACTGCTCTTTCTTATTTTTTTAAATTAAATAGAGTCAGTGCTTCTTCATGCTTGAGTGTACTGACTTCGGCTATTTCTAAAAAAGAAGAGAAGTGTTCCCCCCACTGTTCTCTAGCATGTAGCAAATATACTGCACTCACTGGTTTCAACTGTTTTGTCTGAGAAAGGTTGGAATGTAAGTGGTGGTGATGCTGTTAAAATACACTGAGCATACTACGTCTGTGTATTCCCAAGGCTAAGGAGTGCCTCTGAAATGTGTTTTTTGGTGGTGTGTGAGAAACACTTAAATGTAGGAGGAAGTAATCATAAGTGTGTCTTTGAGAGCAACCTCGAGAACAACCTCAAGAAAATCTTAAAAGAGGCCATCAAGATTCTAAGGGAGGGCTAGTTGAGCGATGGTACAGTTGGACAGTGCTATGGCAGGAACTGTGACTATGGGTGGGAGTGAAAGCCTTTGCAAAGTCTTCCATGATCTTTGTGTAGTGTGGGATTTTGTTCTGACCGCCCTGTTTGACCTGCAAACATGACAAAACCCAGCAAGGGCAAGTGCTTAACTATGTTTGCTGCTAACTGTTAGCTTCTCATCATGAATTCTACTCTTGGAAAATGAACATTTATATAGTACGCAACATACCATGGTAACTGATTCAAACTTGCAAAGACTTGCAGTAATTGAAAACCTTCATTTCAGAGGGCATTTCACTTATAGCAATAATGAATTCTATGTACAAGAAATTTGACAGCCACTGCATTTTCAATTGTTCTAGAATTCTTGGAGAGGGGCAGGAAATAAGTTTTTTGGGGTTTCCGTTAGTCCTGTTCAGAAAAGATTATGAAATTTACATGTCACATGTCAGCTATCGTTAGACTATATGGGAAACAGATTCTGAAGCATTCCAGTGTTTTTCTACATGTTGAAAGCTAGGCTACTTTGGTGGTTGCTCAGTATATAATATTTTATTGAGATCTTGTTACTAGGATTTTAACTGAAGCATTATCAGTTAGAATGGAACCTCTGCATAATGTTCACTGGCAGTTTAAATCAGCCCCTTTATATATATCATGGCTAGGCTTCACGAACGAAGATTTGGGAAGGACTCTACCCACATTTGCTACAAGCACGCTGGTGGCTAATGCGAGGCCAATGCAAGATAGACAAGTCCGGTTGCAAAAGGCACAGCAGAATGACTCCTTAGGTGGTATCGGCAAGACACGATTCTTTCTGCACTGTCTTTTCTCCTGCGTGAGTTCTCAAAAGAAGCAGCAGCGTTATAGATAGTGTGTCTCCAGGCCTCCCAATTGGATGCCAGAGTAGACCAGTAAAGGAGATCAATATGGCCAAGGCTGAGATGTTGTTTCATGGAGTCCTTGTATCTCCTCTTTGGGCCTCCTCTCTTGTGGCAGCCGGTGGCAAGTTCACCATAAAGCAAGATCTTAGGGAGGCGGTGGTCCTTCATCCTGGAGACGTGTCCTGCCCAACGCAGCTGATTTCTCAGCAACATGGCCTCAATACTTGTGACTGCTGCTTGTTCTAGAACAGACGTGTTAGTCACATAATCTGACCAGTGGATGTTTAGGATTGTGTGGAGACAGTGTTGATGGAAGCGTTCTAGGAGATGCAGGTGGTGGCAGTAGATGACCCATGATTTTGACCCATATAAAAGAGTAGACAGCACAATGGCTCTGTAAACACTGATCTTTGTGCTTTTCTTCAGGCGTTTATTTCACCAGACTCTTTTATGGAGTTCTCCAAAAGCACTGTATGCCTTCGCTAACCTGTTGTCTATCTCTCCATCAATCTTACCATCCGAGGAGATGGTGCTACCTAGGTAGGTAAACTGCTGGACTGATTTGAGCTCTGATTTGCCATTGGTGATATGGGAACGATGGAAGACTTCCTGAGGTGCAGGTTGATAGAAGACTTCTGTCTTCTTTAAGCTGACTTCCAGCCCAAAAAGCTCAGCAGCCTCAGCAAAGCAGGATGTTAAACGCTGCAGAGCTACTTCTGTGTGAGCGACAAGGGCAGTGTCATCAGCATAAAGCAGCTCCCGGACAAGATGGTTTAAGGTCTTGGCGTGGGCCTTCAGTCGCCTTAGATTGAAAAGGCTTCCATCAGTACAATATCGAATGTAGATACCATCTTCTTCATCGAGGTCTGCCATGGCCCTTTGGAGCATAATGCCGAAGATTGTGAATAGGGTTGGTGCAAGAACGCAGCCTTCTTTCACACCCTTGGTTATTAGAAAGGGCTCAGAAAGTGTGTTGCCATATCTGACTTGGCCGTGCTGATGCTCATGAAATAAGATGATAATTTAAGGAACTTGGGGGGGACATCCTAAACATTCCAAAATCTGCCACAGACCTTTTCTGCTCACAGTATTGAAAGCCTTGGTGAGATCAACAAAGGTTACATAGAGTCCTTTGTTCTATTCCTTACACTTCTCTTGCAGTTGTCTGAGAACAAACACCATGTCTGTGGTACTCCTGTTGGCTCTGAAACCACATTGGCTTTCAGGTAGAATTCCTTCTGCTGTAGCGGGTATTAATCTGTTCAAGAGTATTCTTGCAAGGATTTTGCCAGCAATGGAGAGCAGAGTAATACCACGGTAATTTGAACAGTCTGATTTAACTCCTTTCTTCTTATACAAAGTGATGATGACTGCATCACAAAGGTCTGATGGTAGTTCACCTAGTTCCCAACAGTGCACCACAAACTCGTGAAATTTAGCATGGAGTGCAGGGCCCCCATGTTTCCAGACTTCAGGTGGAATTCCATCAACCCCAGCTGCCTTGCTGATTTTCACCTGCTGAATGGCCTTAAGAGTTTCTCCCATAGTAGGGCCAATATCCAATTATTCTTCACCAGTTGCTGTGTGATGGACTGAATAGCTGAGTCTTGCACTACACGGCTAGTACTGAAAAGAGTCTGAAAGTGTTCAGACCATCGGTTCAGAACAGAGGTTTCATCTGTGACAAGCGTTTGACCATCTGCACTGAGTAGAGGGCTTTGGACCTGCTATGTAGGCCTGTACACTGTTTTCAGGGCCTCATAGAATCCTCTGTAATCACCCGTATCTGCACATAATTGAATTTTTCCTGCTAGATCGATCCACCACTTGTTCTGGATGTCATGAAGCTTCTGCTGGAGCTTGCTGCATGCAAGACGAAAGGTTGCTTTTCTTACGTGACAGGATGGCTTGAGCAAGGTGTGCTTGGTGAGCAGTTCTCTTCTTCCTCAACAATGGTGAGCAGTTCTCTTCTTCCTCAACAATTCCTGGATCTCTTGATTGTTTTCATCAAACCAGTCCTTGTTCTTCTTAAAGGAGAACCTTAAGGACTCTTCAGAGGACTGCAGGATGCTATTTTTAATATGTTGCCAAAGTGTTTCAGGAGAGAGATCTATGGGATGATCTTCGAGCCTAGTTTGAAGGTTTGCCTGAAAACTGTCTCTCACTGTGGCTGACTGAAGATTGTCAACTTGGAGTCTCCTCCTTGGAATACCACCCCTTTTAGGTTTGAACTTAAGGTTGAAGTTAAGTTTACAGTGCACAAGTTGATGGTCTGTTTGGCATTCTGCACTAGGCATCATGTGGGTATGATGAACATCACGAACATCTTTCTGTCGCACCAAGACATAATAAATGAGGTGCCAATGCTTGGATCTAGGATGCATCCAGGTTGTCTTCAGACTATTTTTCTGCTGAAAGACAGTGTTGGTGATGGTGAGCTGTTGCTCTGCACACAAAACTCCAGCAGAACGTGAATATTATCGTTGCAGTTTCCAACACCATGCTTGCCTAATATTCCTTTCCAGGCTTCAAAGTTCTTTCCTACTCGGGCACTGAAATCACCAAGGATAATGTGATTATCATGTGATTATCTTATCATGTGCGGGAACCTTTTGGGTAAGGCGGTACAGGTCGGTATAAAATTTATTTTTTTCGGCAGGGTCAGCTTGGAGAGTTAGGGCATATACACTAAAGAGAACAACATGTTGCTTATTGTGTAGTGGAAGGCGTAAGGAGATAATGCGGTCAGAATGACATGTTGGCAGATTTTCGAGTTTAGAGACAACAGAGTTTTTAATCATGAAGCCAACTCCTGAGAGATCTCTTTCAGTTCTGGGTTTACGTGACCAAAAGAGTGTGTAACCGGCACCATGTTCCCTAAGGCTGCCTTCCTCCTGGAGACGGACTTCATTGAGAGCAGCAATGTTGATGTTGAGACGTGACAGTTCACGGGCAATTAGGGCAGAATGACGCTCAGGACGTCCACTGTCCGCAGTATCAAGCATGGTTCTGATGTTCCAGCATGCTAGTGTCAATTTGGATACACCTTTGAAGGCAAATGTATGCCTTTGTCTCTTAATCTTTGTTTGACCACAATTAGAAGATGGCCATTGGGGACCCCAGCACAGGAACGATGTGGTTCCGCTGGACCATTTCCTGATAAGGGCCACAAAAGAGATCAGAGAGGTAGAACAACACTCCTATGAGCACAGGCTGAAAGAGTTAGGGTTGTTCAGTCTGGAGAAGAGAAGGCTTCCAGGAGACATTAGAGCAGCCTTTCAATACTTGGAAAAGGCTTATCAGAAAGATAGGGACAGGCCTGTTTTAGTAGGGCCTGCAGCAATAGGACAAGGGGTAATGGTTTTAAACCAGAGGAGGTAGATTCAGGCTACTTATAAGGAAGAATTTTTTTTACTATGAGAGTTCTGAGACACTGGAACAGGTTGCACAGAGAAGGTGTGGATGTTCCAGACCAGGTTGGATGGGGCTCTGAGCAACCCTATCGAGGTGAAGATGTCCTCGCTGATTGCAGGGGAGTTAGACTAGAGGACCTTTACAGGTCCCTTCCAAGTCAAATCATTCTGTGATTCTGATATTTGCATTGTCCTCAACCTGAAAGCTAGAAACAGCAGAAGAGATACAGGCCTGAATCTGGGCAAAACATATGGTTTCAGGGGGAGCAAAGGCAACATGAAAATAGTACCTTGTGCCTGTAGAAGAACCGTGCTGCATATTCAGTGGTAATGTGGAGTCAGAGGCCAAAGAGAAAAGGGCAAGAGGTGAGTGTCTGTTCATGAAATCACACCAATTATGCCAAGGAAGCCCTAATGCCAGCAAGTAGAAACCATCCACATTAACACCCCCCCATTTAATATTGTTGACTTAGTCTGGAGAACTGGGTAAAGGAGGTGAAGGTGTGGGAATTTCCTGTAACCTTCCTCTTCAATCAATGATCTCTCCATTCGAAAATAACCATTCAATAGTCACATTTTCTGCAGGTTTATCTGTTTCTTTGAAGGCAGGGTTGGAATATGATTTAAAAATATAATCCTGTTATAGTCAACAATAAAACAAGTATAGTCTTTGGTACCACACTTGTATGGTAGAAAATACAGTGTATGAAATGGAAGGTGGGTTACTGGCCTACATGCAAGGTGAATGAGTGGCGTGAGTGGCTGGCAAGGCAAACCAGAGGGCAGGTTACCTGCTCAAGGTAGTAGCAGTTAAGAGAGTCCTACTTTTCATTGTATTCCAGTATTAGGGTCCGGATTTGGGCCAGGGAAGAGGAAGTGAGGAGAACAAGCAGATTTAATTTACAAGCTTATTGGAAATACAGACTTCGGAGGTCTATTTTACCAGAGCGGGCTCGCTGCAATGGTGCCATTCCTGCACTAGAATTCCATGTACGCGCCCTCCACCTCCAGTGCATGGCGCCACCACATGCCGCTGCCCCCCCCGGGGCGCCGTGGGCCGGCCCCTCTCCCCCCGGGGCCGCAATGGTTTGTTCCCGGGCAACGCGGGCGGGCGCCGAGCGCCGGGTTCTCTTCCGGGTTCGGGTGCGGGCGGGCGCTCTGTGGTTGCTCCTCCCCCGCCGGCTCTCCGGCCCGGACGGGCGGGCGCTATGCGCAGGCTCGGCCCTTGCCTCAAGATGGCGGCGGTGGCGGATAAACAGAAGCACGAGCACGGGCGGGTGAAGATTGGGCACTACATCCTGGGGGACACGCTGGGTGTCGGCACCTTCGGGAAAGTCAAGGGTGAGCGGCCACAGCGGGGCCGGCAGGCGTTCGACCGCCCGTCAGCGCGGCCCCGGCCCGCGGGAGCGCCTCTCGAAGCGGGAGTTGCGCGGGCTGAGGTGCCGGGGTGGGACTGGCGGTCCCGCAGAGGGAAGCGGTGACTGGGGCAGAAACAGCTTCCTCATTTGTTTATGCGGAAGTAGCCGCTAGAAGCTAAATGCTGCTGCATTTGTTTAAAACGGCGCCGGGCATGTAGCGAAAGTAGGGAGTCTTAGTTCTCGAGCTATCTTTCATAGCGTTTTGCTGCAGAAAAGTCTCGATGTCCTTGTAAGGAGGGCAGGATTTCTCTCTCTACCAACAGAGAAATAAGCGTAAAAAGGTGGATCTGGGATTACTGGATTAACCGGCAACAGAGCTGACTCACAGATATGGAAAGATTTTATGCTTAGTCTACTTGACCAGTGGTTATCAAAGTTTTTCTCAGCTCAGACTTTAAAAACTTTACACCATAGGGGTGTAGATGCTGTGCTAGTATATTTGAAGGCTCGTAAAAATAAAATAGAAGTTAAACCTACCCAGCACAGGTGGAAGAACTGGTCATTAGCTTATTCTCACTGTTCCTGCTGTGTTGCTTGTGAGAACTTCAGATATTGGGGCAAGGAAATTGACAATATCTTTTCGCAAATGAGTTGAGTTAAGCTCAGTCTATATTGTCCATAATTTTTTTTTTTTTTTACTTAATGAGTGCTTGCTATTATAACCAGTAAAAAACCCACAGCTTTTTTTTTTTTCAGTGTAGGTGTTCCATTGTATGTGTTCTGCACAAGCTCTTTCAACTGTTGGCATGTTCTGAAGACGTTACTAATGTCTAGGAAAGAGGATATTTTTCTCCGGCAATGCAGTGGAAAATATTTTGAGAGCAGAGCCCTTTGAATCTCTTTTTCAAGGCACTTGGGAATAGTGACCCCTAACTGGCAGCTGGGATACCATTCCTTTCCTTGGGAATTTTCTTTCCTTAAATAAAGAGAAAATAATATAGCCCAGAAGACAGGCATCAGGCTTTCCTTCCCCATGGAGGGGGAGGGGAGGAGTCAAAGATGTCTTTGTTTTGGGTTTTTTACCCAGCACACTGCACAAAACTGAAATTGACATACCATCAATGTTTTAATATGCTCTTAAATTTAAGAGAGCTCTGTTGTACCCCTGCTTTTCTTATCCCTATGTGATCTACTGTATTACTTTTGCTTTAGCTGTGTGTGATAAAGGACATTTTATTTATGATGCACTGATTTTCCTCCTGGGCACACATTTTCTTCATTTAATACCAGATCTATGTTTTCCTCTAATTCTAATAATTTTGATATGGTTTCATCAATTGACATAATGTGAAAAACTGTAATAAATGTGTTCACTTCTTAAAATTCAGTTAGAATTGTCATTGAGCTCAAGTGATGTAGGGGGTCAGGCATATGGCTCCTTAAAAGTGGATGTTTAATTTTAACAGTGATGGCAGCCTGAAAACATTGAAGTGGAAAAACAGATTTTACTTGATAATTGTTGAATGTCTCATGTTGTCAGATGAATTCACCCTGCTGCTTACCATAGATGCTAAAATGCCAAAAGTGAAAAGCTGTGAGATAGAAGAATATTGAGCTTAAACCAACTATATGAGACACATTCTCATTGAAACTTTACCATGATTCAGTGTGAAACATCTATCCCTAAGGTTGTCAATTTTTTCTTTAAACATTGCTGTTGTTTTCTGCTGAAACCAAATGCAAACTTTTGTTTCAGGTGTTTTTTGATTTAAAGTGAGTTTTCATAAAAGGAAGAGTATTCAGGCTTTCAGTGTTTCATACTGAGAAAACGAGGGGTGCTACTTCAGGCTGTAAATACACAATAATAGTTCCAGGCCTCTAGATCTAAGTTATCAGTGCTGGTCTGTACAGACTGCAGACATTACGAAAGTAGGTGGTGTTTATCAAGGCAACAGTAAGGGACCTGGAAATGGACAGTGAAGATCAGTATGATATGTAATGTTGTGCAGCGGGTTGGCTTTGCACAGCGTGAACTACTGTTTGGGGTTTTTTTCATGTTAGTGAAAACATTTGTTTATCTCGTACTTTTAAAGGCTGCTTTCCTCTGAGCTTTGGGTTGGCTTTTTGGCCTATTGCAGAATTGTTTCATTGAATACAATATAAGCTTGTTCAGCTTTTTTTTTTTTTTTTTTTTTTTTTTTGCTATTCACTTAATGACTGATACTTCTATTTCATGGGAATGTTGTATTTACTCTGGATGGCCTCATAATCAGTTTTTTCCAATTGAAGAATTGCTGAACTAGGTTAGAGACCCTTGCTCCTGCACTTCAACTGTTAAATGAAGTTGCTGCTGCTTTGAGACTATCACTGTCTTGGAAGTCTTGCTGCTGTGCAAAGCCACAGTGAAGCTTGAAGGCAATTGATATTATCAGAGAACAAAGAAATACAGGGAGATACTAGGTCTGTTAAATGAACTTTTTTTCGGAGATTGTTCTGAAGGGCTGGTAGGTAGTTGAGGATTAGGGTGATAAACATACCTTTTGGTTACTTCAAATTTGTTTGCATTCCCTTTTATAGGTAATGCGAAGTAGCTTTCAGAAGGATAACACTGACTGCTTATGTGTCTGCATGGTGATATCATCCAAGATGATGCTTTCAGCTCTGTCCTAATCCGGAATTCAAAAGTGTCAGCAGTCTGTTACCAGTCTGTTACGTTGTACGTAACAGATACCTCGAACCATATCCAAGAAAACAGTTTTATTATATGATGTGGATGATTATTGAAAACTTGTATCTTAAAAAGTTAGATGTGTTATAATTTTATATTGAATTAAAGGGAGGCAAAAATTACTGAATTTGAAATGTTTTAAGCAAGAGAACAGGCTTTTTGGGATCTTTATGCACCAAACCAAACCACAGTGTGTTTTCATTACAGTCATTTATTCAAAGTTGGCAGAGTTGAAGAAGCAGGAAATCTTGTTTTCTCCCAGTCAGTGAATAAAATTAAGGCTTGAGGCACACAGCCTTGAAGGCTATGACACCTAGAATTGGTTTCAGTCAACTGCAAATGTTACTGTTTAATTACTTTGAATGAAAAATTTGTTTTGAAAAACTTTTTTGTGTGTGTGCCTTGCATATTGAACAAAGCTTGTAGCTAATAAATGACTTTAATGTTTTTCTGAGTGCTAAGGAAATTTCAGTGTAACATAGACTGACAAATCAAAAATGGAACAAATTGGCTCAAAAGTGAGGCTTTATAGCATGTATACAGAATCCTTCATACACATAACACAGAACTGCATATATATAGATGCTAAGCTGTAGAATTGGTCAGATATATATGCTACTTACTATATTAAACATGCACCTTGTAAAGCAAAGGAAGATGCAGATTCATTCTGATTTTTGGTTAGTTTCTGAGAAGCTGTTTCTTAGTAACAAAAACTAATGTTACATTTAAACCTACTGTTTAAAGATTTTTTCAAATACTTCTAGCTTAGTTCAGTTCCCATTATGGATGGGCAGAGACCTTGTAATTCAAACGGAGGAGTTGCTTTTCTTATTTTTTATGTTGAAGATTCTTTACCCCTTAGGGTTTTAACATAGGTGATATCATTTGCTGGATTGCTTTGAGACTTGAATCACATTTGAGCTGAAGAAAAGAAGAGGATTGTGATTGCTTTAATTGTAGATCTAGTTCAAAGCAGATAATTCTCATACAGTTCCAGGCACTCACCTATCACTGCTTTGTGCTCTCTCTAGAACTTGTGATGGATGTGGGCTTTGTCCTGCATTCCTCAGCAGTGGAAATGTGCCTTTATTGTGGACATTTTTAGGTACTGGCTTCTGAATGAGGGGATATGTCTTTTCACCTTGAAGGCAGAGCCTTTCTGTGTTCTCAGGTACTAGAGATGTCTGAGTGCAGCATTGTGATGGTTCAGGGTCTTGGATAATCCACTACTGAGTTCCCTGCAGGAATTTAGAATGCTTTATTTACACAGTGGCTTGTAAGAATAACTGCTCAGATGCTTGTCATTATCTTTGCCTCTCTGCTAAGAATTTCTTCTCACTTGCATTGGTGTTTAGCTCAGTATTGGGGCAAAGGGCAGAGGGAAGGTCTTGTGTTGTGAATGAAGTTTGCAGGTGGGTGTTGTTCTGTCCAGATTATCTGTTGAATGCAGAAGGATTTTTGTTTGTCACTGCTGTTCAATCACAGCTTCCCATGAATATATTTAAACAAAGCTTGAAGCCTGGGGCTTATTTAAATTCTTAAGTGAGGGGAGGCATCCAGACAGTGTATTCAGCACAGGCCTGTTAGTAATGTCTATTCATGTGAACAAGGATGGGCCATGTAGGTGTCCCTGTAATTTGGCTTATCTTCAAAACGTCTGAATCAGAGTGGCAAATAAATATGGTATATTTATAATTACTGCAGGCAGAAACCCTGCAGATAGTGCAGCTTTCTAGTGGAAGAGATATTAGCTTCTAAATGTTTTATCTGTGATCCAGTGTTGGGTTTAAGAAAAATATTCTTAACAACTTGATTGTGACTACTTCCAATAGCTCCTGCAAAGTTTAAGTCTTAAAGAGGGGTAACTGATTGGGAAATATTTTACAGTTTAAAGAAAAATTAAACTCCTCAGATTCTTTTCCACTTCCAGGAATGTATGAGTTTGCATGTTTGCATTGTTTTTCATTGTTACTGTTGCATTTCAT